GATGAAGAATTGAAAAAACAAATGAAAAGGATTTTTTTTCTAATTTTTTTTAATCTTTTCAAAAAATTATTTTAATACTTTGAATAATTTTTTTATTTCAAAAGATGAAGAATTAAAAAAAATGGATTCATCTTCGAATGTTTGAATTAAAATGGAAAAATGTATGAATATTTATCGAAGAATATTGAACCTTCGTTGATTTAAACTTTTTCATTTATAAAAAAAAAATGAAAAAACATGAATTAATTTTCATTAAAATGCTCATTAAACTTTCAATTAATGCAGCAATTATTGATTGGATAATTATAAAAAATATTGAATCTTCGTTAATTTCAATTTTTTTATTTACTTTTACAAAAAAAAAATAACAAAGTTCTCTTATAGATGAATTTTCGATCTACTTACACTGGATACTGCATGTCATTGGGCCCGACGCAATCAGCCGAATCCGTCATAGCATCTCCCCACACGTATTTGAGTCCAACTCCACTGCCCGCGCATTTTCGCGGCTTTTCACTGGCAAATCCGCTTGAGCTGATCAGTAATACTATCGCGACACTCAAGTGTCTCCGCGTCTGGAATTAATTTTCATTCTCTTATTTCTCATCTCCTCTAATATTACTTTTTTAATAATTTATGCTTGATTCTGATTGAATTACTCATCAATTTATTTTCCGAGCCGAATTGATACGATTTTTACAGTTAATCACGACGCAATACTAGCATTCAAGTTTTTGTTGAACACAAAATCAAGAAGAGTAATGCCCGCGAGGGGATTTGAACCCGCAACCTTCAGATTACCACAGCAGCTTCCGGGGATTCCCCGCGATGAAATACAATTCGGAACAGGCATTTCAATTTGATGGATGTCAAACCCGAAGAATAGTCTGTCCTCATTCCAAATTCACAATTCAAAGAGGAAAATGTGCAGTTTAATAATGCCTCCATCGTCCCAACAGTCTTTTTTGAAATCCGCAAAAACAACTAACATTGAAGTTATAAAAATAACGGTCCGATGACTGAGTTCCTGCCACCCTCAAAATCATCTCGCGCAGTTTCTGCCACCCCTTTGGACCCAGTTTATGCCAGTTTACGAATCGAATGTGACAGGTCAAATATTCGTGGTGTAGAAAATTCTTTTAAAAAATCATAGGAGAAGTTGAGGTTTATCGAGCAGAATAGTGAGGATTCTTTTCCACACCAGGGGATGTACGTTCATTCATTGGGGAGTTGAGTTACAGAAAGAACCTCCACAGGGAAGCGGTTAGATAAGTGACAGAAACTACAGTGGCACTAACAGCTCCACCGTAAAATACCAGGGGACCACTCACTGCCATCCCATATTTGCCATTAAATAAATTTTCCTGATAATTCTTTTTAGTCTTGTGAACGAATTGAGGTGACTCCCTACAAGTCCGCATATTCTCTCATGTATTTACAACTCGCACATGGGAAATAGAGGGGAAAACAGTGTGCGTCCACTCCTAACTCTCGACCCAAGAATCACTCGTGGAAGTGTTAGCAGTTGGGCCAGTACTTTTGACAATTCAATGCCAAATATTTCTCGTGGATTGACAGACGAAATAAGAATCACTAATCACTAAAAAATAAAGCTTCGGCGTGAAGATATTTCGTTAATTTGAATAAATTTCAGTCTGTTCTCAACAAAATTCTCATTTCACTGAGATGAATTCAATGATGAATAATTCTCGTGGATTTCCAGACGGAATGAGAATCACTAATCATTAAAAAATAAAGCTTTGGCGTGAAGATATTTCGTTAATTTGAATGAATTTTAGTCATTTATGTGCGTGAATGAGAATCATTGATCATGAAAAAATTAAGCTCCTGCGGACTGATAAACAATCGACATTAATATTCTCGCAGAGGCATTAAAATCGCAGAAAGTGGGTCCCTGGCACAAACCGGGTTCGCAGCGGTATTCAAACGCTCTTTCATGGGCAGTATTTCATGAAGTGAAAATAGAGAATATTTCAGATATCATTTCATCGATCTCCCCTGCCCGGATACTTCAATGAACGCCTGGGCATCGTGAGAGGTAATATGGAGACATTTATTCTCCATTAAAAATCTGTTCAAATTTTTTTTATGTTGGAATATTAAGAGTCGAGGGTTAATCTAATCTACAACAGCTTGCAATCAGGCGCGAAAAGGACGGCCGAGACATTCGTCCCGATTAAACATTCATATTCAAGTGATCACGCTTTTAAGGGGAATGTAACGGAGTCGAGTGTATGATTTATCCATCTTATTTCCGCTTGCGGAGATAAATGACGCGTGGATTGCTTCGTTATTCGATTGATCTCATGTGATTCTGGAATCAATGATTATTTTTAGTTCATAGTGAACCTGAACTTGACGATTAAAATTATATCAATGAATTTTGAATCAAAGAAATTCTGTCTGAAATTAATAATTTGTTTATTCCTATTATTTACATTATTTTTAGTATTTATTTTCAACTTGAATTGAAAAATTATTGAGATTTTTTTCTGGGGAAACACAAAGTCTTCATTTCCATATTTATTACAAATCAGTGAGCAAGATGGAAATGTTAATTAAAAATAGTACACGCAGAAAAAAAATCATAAAAAAACCCAGTGCATTCTATAGAAATTCCTCAACCTGAATTTTCCAATTTTTTTCCATTCTTTTTTCATCTCTATTCATTAACAAAATCAACCAAAAAAATCAGAAAAATTTGAGTTAAAAATTTCTGTAGAAAATATCAATAAAGAAACTTGTATAGAAAAATATAATTCTACTGATTTTTTGAATAAAAAAAATGATTGAGATTTTTTTCTTGTGAAAAACAAAATCTTCATTTCCATATTTATTACAAATAGTTGAGTAAGATGGAAATGTTAATTGAAAATAGTATTCACACGTAGAAAAAAAAATCATAAAAAACCTAGTGCATTCTATAGAAATTCCTCAACCTGAATTTTCTAATTTTTTTCCATTCTTTTTTCATCTCTATTCATTAACAAAATCAACCAAAAAAATCAAAAAAATTTGAGTTAAAAATTTCTATAGAAAATATCAATAAATAAACTTGTATAGAAAAATATAATTCTACAGATTTTTTTAATAAAAAAAATGATTGAGATTTTTTTCTTGTGAAAAACAAAATCTTCATTTCCATATTTATTACAAATAGTTGAGTAAGATGGAAATGTTAATTGAAAATAGTATTCACACGCAGAAAAAAAAATCATAAAAAACCTAGTGCATTCTATAGAAATTCCTCAACCTGAATTTTCCAATTTTTTTCCATTCTTTTTTCATCTTTATTCATTAACAAAATCAAACAAAAAAATCAGAACATTTTGAGTTAAAAAAATTCTATAGAAAATATCAAAAAAGAAACTTGTATAGAAAAATATAATTTTACTGATTTTTTGAATAAAAAAGATGATTGAGATTTTTTTCTTGGGAAAAACAAAGTCTTCATTTCCATATTTATTGCAAATAGTGGAGTAAGATGGAAATGTTAAATCTTTTTTCATCAACAAAATCAACCAAAAAAATCAGACAAATTTGAGTTTAAAAAATTCTATAGAAAATATCAAAAAAGAAACTAGTATAGAAAAATATAATTCTACTGATTTTTTCTGCAGATTATTTCCCTCTCAACATTTGCACCGAAAAATCGCGCATCGATAGAATCGGCCAAAAATTAATAGAAAGTTTAATAGAAATCCGTTAGAATCCACAATTTTTTTTTATTAAACATTTTTCTGCGTGTCATCAATCCCGAAATAATTTCCCGCTCTCCACCCCCCGATTTCCCTCGATCGTTGCATCTTCGATTACAACAGTATTATCTTGTCCTTGATGAATCAATCCCCCTGATCTTGTAGCACGTGGATAATGCCCGCTTAAGTGAAACGACTAACGGTACGACCTTAGGAGCGTCATGATGACTCGGAACGGGTCACCGGTTGTTCTTCAAATGCTAACGGGATTGTCTCGAAATGTTGAAAAATCGTTTTATATCTTTTCCCTTGAAAATTGAAGTGAATCCTCCGCCGGGAGTAGACGGTTCGGCGCGGCCAAAAATTCGACTCCACTTCGACGATTATCGATGGATCCCTGGGGAAGGGGTAACAATAGACCTTCACAGCCGGCTAGAATTTATTTCTTTTGAACGATCGACTTCAGACCGATTTCTTTCACTCCCCCTCGCATTGCTGGCATTCCGGAGGGATTCTGCCGGTCTGCGCGTTCATCGTGCAACTCTTATTTTTATTTAAAATGCAAATTGAAATTTATTTCAGGTCAAATTGACGATTTACTAAAAATTTAAATTGAAAATAAAATCAATTCGATCGCATGAATTTCGATTTTTCCCCAAAATTTTGACAGAAAAACCCAGCGAAATCGTTAGAAAATTCTATGGGATTTCTGTTGAACTTTCTATTAGTTTTTGGCGAAAAAACTGTGACGTTTTTCGCACCTCTGCGCGACGGTCCGAGAATACGCAGCCCTCGGCGACTAAATCTTGTAACGAAAAGTTGCGCCAATACGTTTTCTCTCAAAACGCACAAAAATTGAAATTCTAAATCCACAGAATCAAGCAATGAAGGAACAAGTGCCGACAGCTCAGTTCCAAATTGCCGCTCAGAAAAATTATTTTGAAATAACTGGGTTCTAAATTCGAATATTCGGTTCTATTGAAATTTTCAATGGAAAATATTCAATAGAAAAAGTCAATAGAATTCGATTTTTCTGTATAACTTATTTTTTGCAGATATTTTTCTCCAACTGTCCAAGTTTTCTTCATTCTATTTTTCTCTTCTCCTCATCAAGAAAATCAGCCAAAAAAATTGGGAAATTTGAGCGGAGGAAATTTTATCGAAAATATCTCAATAAGTTCTATAGAAAGTTCAATAGAAATCCAACAGATTTTTCTACCGAATTCGCTAGGTTTTTCTATCAAATTTTTTCACCGGTAATATTACGACAATTTCATTTTTTTCTATTAAAAATTCAGAAAGAGAAAAAAATGATTTCTCCGCGAAAACTTTACTGATTGACGTTGAAAAAAAATTTTTTTTAAGCTAAACTATTTTACACTGAATAAAAATAAAAACCTCACTCACCGTTAATGATATCATTTCAAACTCCTCGAAAATTCAAATGATTAAATAAAATAGACTTAATAATAACGAGTAATTGATTTTATCGGAGGGATTGCCGATTGAACACATGAAACACTGAGGGATTATGAAGTGATTTTCGGTGAATACCGAAGGTAGAGTCACGAAATGCCGTTCATGTCACTACGCGGTATCTCGTATTTTTGCCCGAGGTCGAGCACCTCCGTCCGTGCAGGTGGATGCTCAGTGGTTGACTGTAAGTAAGAGGGCTCCTTTGCTTGTTTGTGGCCAGTTGTGTCCGCCCAAGCGGTCTAAAAACCAGGAATGAGCCAGGGGGAGGCAGACGAGGATGGATATATGGTCTTTCTTCTGTTGCTTGTGGGTGAGATTTGATTTTGTGCGTGAGGGCACCGGAAGCCGAAGGAAGAAGTCACATTGGGAGATGATTGGGGTTTTCTTCATTCCGGAGTTTCGAACATGATGAGGAACAACAATAGTTGATTAACATTTTGGGAATAATTATATTCCGCTGGCTGTGATGGATGAAGAAATTTTTAATCTAGTCTGCACGATTTAAAAGGTTTTTTTTTCAGGTGAGGGTCAAATGACCCTTAAGGTCGCCTGGGTTGAGGGTCAAATGACCCTTTCTGATCACTTTTTTTATTAGTTGGACCATTAAAACTATTTGACCCTCAACTTTTGATGTTTCTAAGCATTTTTTGACCCTCAAAATAATTTGGCCCTCAACTCCAAACGTCCTGAAGGATCGTTTGACCCTCAACTAAAATTGAGGGTCAAATGACCCTTTCTGGTCACTCTAGTTCAACCAGTCGGGCCCTTAAGACTATTTGACCCTCAATCTTGAATGTTTTTAAGGGCTTTTTGACCCTCAACTCAAAACGTCGTTAAGGGTCGTTTAACCCTCAAAACCTTTTAACGCTCAACTAAAGTTGAGGGTCAAATTGGCTCAAGGGTCAAACGGCCGTTGAAGACGTGTGGGGTTGAGGGTCAAATGGCCCTTTCTGATCGCTCTACTCCAACGCGTTCGACCTTTAAGACCCCAACCCTGAACGCTTTTAAGGGCTTCTTGACCCTCAACTCCAAACATCCTTAAGGGTCGTTTGCCCTTTAAAACCATTTGAGATTCAACTAAATTGGAGGGTCAATTGTCTCAAGGGCAAACAGCTTTTGAAGGTCAAATGACCCTTTCTGTTCACTAGTAACTAGTTCGACCCTTAAAACCATTTGACCCTCAAACCTATCTTTAAGGCTTTTTTGACCTTCAAAACCCCTTGACCTTCAATTCCAAACGTCAAGGGTCGTTTGACCCTCAAACTTCATAATTTCGAATACCTAATTTTTTTGTTCAATGACCCTTCCTGAACCATTTGACCCTCCATTGAAAAAAATAAGGTACCCCACAGGTAAATAAATTATGTCCACAATCAATTAATTTGCATTTTTTTTCTCATTTATTTCATTTTTTACTTCAAATATGTAAATTATTTCTGTAGTCACATGTGATTACGCATACGAGTTGCTCTTTCAAGCATAAAAAGAACTCCGATAGTCATTAATTACCTACACACCAAGTTACCGAATAACTTGAATAAACTCCTGATATAACTAATAAAAAAAATAGATCGTAAAAACTAGAATGTTCTCCACACTGCACCTCACTGTCTCTACGTGGAATAGTGAATAAATTTTATGTGTCAAAATGTGATTCGAAATACGTCGACTTATTGGTAGCTTTGACATCCAAAGAGTTATCGCGAATGGGGATTTTAAACAGCCATTAAAACGTACGTAACAGGGATAATTGAGAGGCTATTAATCGTCAAATTTAATTGAATTGACGGATACGTCAATCTGTCCGCCTCGGTATGCACCGCGTTTTTTTTTCGTTTTCTCGTGTCTGAAGGATTTTCCCTTTGTGTACTTCAGGTCAAGATTCGCCTTTTCTCCCCACGAGCCACGTGCGCCTCTCTGTAAATTAATTATTAACATTTAATAATTGCATCGATCAATTTTAAGTACATTTATTTCATCATATTGTTAATTGAAATTATTCTAGGTAATTTCTTCTTGAAGAGAACTAATTTCCAACGATAAATTTCTCTCGACATTTTATTCTGAATGCATTTATCTAAAAAACGAGTCCTTTTAGGACAAAATGTCATAAGACATTTTTTGTAGAGAATAAAATTTCCCGCAAAAAATGCTCAGTAACATTTCCTCATAAACCCACTCATTATCTTGATAAATAATCATTCAACAAGATGGTAAAAATCCACTTGCCCGCAAAAACATCGAATTTGTTATTTACTTCGCTGCATTTATCTCGAAAACGAGTGTTTTGACAAAAAAATGTCATAAAACATTTTTTGTAGAGAATAAAATTTCCAACAAAAAACATTTCACGAAATTTTTTCCTAAACCCACTCATTACCAAGATAAATCAACCTCCCTGCATTCTAAAAAATTTCTTCAACAGAATAATCCCCCTCCTTACTTCAATCATCGAAAGTTATCTTCTTATTCTGCGCAGGTGAAGCACTGTGTCCTCCAAACGACTTCCTCTCCTGTCCCCCGAACGAGTTCTTTCCGAAATTTCCTCTGTCATCCCCGAAGGATCGTCTGTCCCCACCGAAACCCCCTCGCCCCCTGCCCCCACGATCGCCCCCTCGACCTCGATCCCCAAATCCTCCCCTGCCCCTGCCACCCCCTCTGTCACCAAATCCACCCCTGCCCCCACGATCACCAAATCCACCCCTTCCCCTCCCCCCACGATCGCCAAATCCTCCCCTTCCCCTGCCACCACGTTCTCCATCCCTACCCCCTCTGAATCCAAATCCTCCCCTCGACCCCCTGAATCCACCCCGCCCTCCCCTATCCCCTCCATGCTTCTTGAAACCCTCACCCTCCTCCTCACCCTCCACCTGGAACAGAGAAACAACAGGTCAGGCGCAACAAATCTCCAATTCCTCCAGGGAATTGAATTTTTTTTTTTCAATTTTTGTTGGAATTGATTTTTTTCAATTCTTGTTTTGAAGGTTCAGCACAAGCATTCATCGTCATCTTCGCTGCAAGTGAGGACGATCAATTCCTAGAATTTTTTTTCGAATGACAAAACATTAATTTTCTATTCCAGTTGTGTCAAGGAGCGAGTGACCTGCTGTTTCCCCTGGACAAAGAGAATTATTCAATTACCTTAGCCTCGAAGGAATTATTAGCTAGCTCTGATGGCACCGCTATCTCGTCGTCCTTAACACGTCTGAATGGTGTATTTTTCTGGGACTGAGGGATAATTTTTTTTTATTAACGAAGAGGCAGATGAATGCTTGGCTATTATTGCTTTTAACATTTAGAAAAGCGATTGTAAGTTTATTAATTTGTGGGGGAAGTGGTGAAATGGCTTAATTTTTCATCATTTTGATGATCTTCGTCTCTTCTTTCTGCTTTTTTTTGTCCTGTGGTTTTTTAAATTTAAATACTATTTTTATTATTCATTTCGTCCCCAATTATTTTAGTTGAGTTATTATTTTTTTCAGGGGCTTTTATTTTTTATTTTTCAGGGGAGATTTTCCCCTAAATCGACTACTTTTGAAGATAAATTAATTAATAAAGCTTTGAATTTCAAAGTTTTACAAAAAAATTAAGCGTTTAGTTTTTTAAAATAATTGCATAATTAATTAATTCATAATTAATTAATCGATTCCAAGAGAAAATGACAAAATCTTGTTTTGTAAAAAATTATTTTTCTAAAAAAACAAAAATATTCCACTTTTTTATTTCGTGGTTTTCAAATCAACTACTTATTCAGATGAATCAATTGATAAAATTTTAAATATTTGAATTAAAAAAAAAAATGAATTTGTTAATTTTTTTTAAACCCTTTCTAAATGAACTCACCCTAAAATACTGTCTAGTTTAACTAATTAATGAATAATTATTGAGATAACCAACTCCAGCAGAAAATGCGAAACCCTTCCTTCAGCAGAAAACATTATTAGAGGAAAAAAAAAAAAAAAAAAAAAATCCCCAAAAACCGTCGAAACCGTCATTTCACGACTCCCCACCTCATCCAAATTTCACCTCCCCCATTTTGCCCCCCAATAATCCCCCTCAACCTACCTTATCCCCATTCATCCCTCCTTTCACAAAATTACTGTAATCATTCTTCTTGAATTTATTCTGTGGGGTCTCGTCGCTCTCCTCCCGTTTCCTCTTCTCCCCAGGTGCCGGTTTCTTCTTGACAGATGTCTGCTGAGGCTCCTCATCACTATCAGACTCCTCGCTCTCCTCCTTCTTCTTCGCAGGGGTCTTCTTCGGAGGGGTCTCCTCCTCCTCCGAGGATTCCTCGCTCTCCTCCTTCTTCGTCTTCTTGGCAGGCGGAGGTTTCACCGCAGCCTTGGGCTTCTCCTCCTCAGACTCCTCACTGGAGTCATCACTCGACTCCTCTTTCTTCACCGCCTTCTTCACACTCTTCACCGGGGGCTTCGCCTCCTCCTCAGAATCAGAATCACTGGAGTCTGATTCCTCCTTCTTGGCTGGTGCCTTCTTGGGTGATACTGGCTTCTTCGCAGGCTCATCGTCAGAATCATCATCACTGGACTCGTCACTCTTCTCCTTAGCTGGGGGTTTAGCTGCAGCTTTAGCAGGTGTTTTCACAGCTACTGCCTTCTTCGGTGGCTCCTCCTCAGAGTCACTGCTGTCACTGCTCTCCGCCTTCTTTGCAGCCTTGACAGGCGCCTTCACAGGTGTCTTGACTGGCTTCTCGTCCTCGGAGGAGTCCTCTTCTGAATCAGACGAGTCCTCCTTCTTCACTGGAACCTTTGCCTTCCCAGTTGATACCTTTGGGGCGTTCTTGACGACTGCCTCTTCCTCCGAGGAGCTGTCATCAGACGACTCCTCAGCAGCTGGCTTCTTCGCCTGGGGCTTTAGTGGAGTTTTAGCCACAGCTTTCGTCTTCGAGTCCTCTTCAGAGTCTGACGAGTCACTCGAGGACTCTTGTTTCTTCGCTGGGACTTTGGCAGCTGTTGGCTTTGCTGGGGACGAGTTGATGGGCTTCGGGTCCTCTTCCTCAGAGGAACTGTCAGAGGAGTCCTTGGGGGCTGGCTTGGCTGGCTTAGCTGCAGGTTTGGCTGCAGCTTTTGCTGCTGGTTTTGATGGCTTTGACTCTTCCTCGGAGGAGCTGTCCTCTGAGGAGTCTGACTCCTTCTTCGCTGGCTTTGCTGGTGTTTTCACTGGCGACTGGGGCTTCTTGGGGACCACCTTCGCAGCTGGCTTCGCCTCCTCGGAGTCTGATGAGTCGGAGTCTGAGGAGGAGGCTGGCTTCTTCTGGGCCTTTGTCGTACCGTTTAGCTGGGGCTTAGCCGGCGCCTCGTCTTCGCTCGAGGAACTCGAGTCAGAGTCGTTGGGCTTCGACGTGGGCTTTATTGTGAGTTTCTTCTGGGAGGTCTTCTGGTAGTGCTTCAGCACGTCCAGGATACCTGGGGAACCCTTCGGCAGGGCCAGCTGAAAGGAAAGTTCAAGTTTTTAGATATTTTTCATCGATTCAACAGCATTTAAACGAAGAATTTGGGTTTTGTGGAGGGTTTCTGTCGAAAATAGTTGGTTTTGGAAGAAAATGACGGGGGAATTTTTTGTAGAGAATTTAATTCTCAAGGAGAAACGTATTGGGACATTTTTCCCTATTTCCGATCGTTATAGAGATAATTTAACATTACTAAATGGCTTAAAAGTGGGGGAGAACGAAACAGTCGAATTCGTCATTCACTTTAATGCATTTATTCAAGGAACGAGTGGGTTTAGGAGAAAATGTCACGAGAATTTCTTTGCAGAGAATTAAATTTCCAACAAAAAACGTTCAATGACTTTTTCCTCTAAAACCACTCATTGCCAAGATAATTGAGCAGTTGAAAAAAATTTGAAAATTGACTGGATCACAAAAAAAGTCGAATTTTTCATTTAAATTGATACATTTATCTCGAAAACGGTCGAATTTACGGAAAAATTTCGTAGGACACTTTTTTCAGAGAATTAAATTTCCAACAAAAAACGTTCAATAACATTTTCGCTAAAACTACTCATTTCCAAGATAATTGCACATTTGAAAAAAGTTGAAAATTGACTGCATCACAAAAAAACGAATTTTTCATTTAAATTGATGTATTTATCTCGAAAACGGGTGGATTTACGGAAAAATTTCGTAGGACACTTTTTTCAGAGAATTAAATTTGCAACAAAAGATCCCTCCACACCCTTCCCCCTAAAACCCCCCATTCCCAACATAATTCAACATTTAACATCTTAGGCTTCGTTTTAACGTCGAAAAACATGTCCCTGATTTCCAAAATCAAATCAAAGTCCCCGAGACCTTCAAAATGACCCCTCGACCCTTATTTTTGTTGGAATGAGGGCCTCAAACTAATGTTTTTGTTGGTTATGTGGCCACGTTTTCGTTTCGGCGAACATCAGTCTCATTTTAAAAAAATGTCAAGAATTATCGTCAGCTCGAGGGGTTTCAACGTCTGAAAATTGTGGAGAATCTTTTGGGCGAGGATTCGAACCCGACGGTTTGAACGGAATATCCTATCGATTCCTCTTCGAAATAATGATGGCGTCCACGTGGTAGTGCACGCTTCAACCGGGATTCAGCATTTCGGAGTGAAACTCGAGGGATCGTCCGGGGATTGATTGATTATCTGAATGTACTCACTGCATTCGTCTTCTTCTGGAACACTTTGGCGAGACTCGCATCCTTTTTCAGGAGATAATCGTAAACAAGCGCGGAGACAGCTATTTCCTCGGTTGATGCCATGGTGGACGCGGGCAAAGGAACACGAAATACTCCGCGTGTTTGGAGCACGTTCGGACAGGAGCGATAGTTCATTCGGTCAACAATAGGGGGATCGTTAGTTCTCATGAAGCGTCTGAGCAAAACGCGCCAACATTTGACCTTTCTAGTGCCAATGTTTCGATTTTTATTCCGCGTTTTTTTTTATTAAATGAGAGGTTTTTCATGAAAATTATTTGCATTGGAATAAAAAGTTTTTTTTCTAACGAAAAATCTTTTTTGGAATTAAAAAGGTGAGAATTCAGGGGAATGAAAAAAAGAGAATTCTTCACTTACTTTGATGCATTTATCTGGAGAACGAGCGGTTTTAGGGGAAAATGTCGTAAAAAACTTTTTGTAGAGAATAAAATTTACAAGAAAAAATTTTTATTCCATTTTATCATAAAACCACGCGTTATCACGATAATTCGACATTTAAGAAGATATTAAAAACCTCCTTAACTCAAAAAAATCGAATTCGTTATTCATTTTAGGACATTTATCTCAATAACCCGTAGTTTTGGGGGAAAATATCATATGAAACTTTTTGTAGAGAATAAAATTTCCAACAAAACCTTTTTATGACATTTTCTCATAAAACCTCGCATTATCAAGATAATTCGGCATTTGATAAAATGTTAAAAATCTCCTGGACCCCAAAAAATCGAATTCGTTATTCATTTGGAGACATTTATCTCAAAAATCAGTAATTTTAGGGGAAAATGCCATAAGAAATTTTCTGTAGGAAATAAAATTTCCAACAAAAAATATTTTATCACATTTTCTCATGCAACCACTCGTTACCAAGATAATTCAACATTTAACAAGATCGTAATTTTTCGTTTTTTTTTCATCCTTCATTAATTGTTTCCAAATTAAAAAAAGGGAAAGGGAGTAATAAAATTATCTACAAGCGAAAGTGTGTTCGTTTAATGATAAGAGATAGAAATTAATTACAAAATTCCTCAGCCGCACTGTATTCCTAAAATACATAATTTTTTAATGAAATCGTCACCCTCAGGTCGCCCTCTTCCTGATAACTGGAATGGGAACGCCCATGAGTTCGCAGAGATGATTTCGCTTAGGTCTGGTCGTCTCCACAGGCTGTTCCCAGTCGGTTTCATTGAGCTCGGTCAGGATGTTCGATAGATTCTCCTCGGGGAGGTCCATGTCCTCCCCGTAGAGAGTGAAGGCTTCGTATATTCGAGTTGCTGTCACTTTTCTGATGCACTGGAACTTGTTGCAGAGGAGAATACTCAGTTGAGTGAATGCCTGCTTGCCTACAGATCCTCTGACCTGAAGATGAAAGTGAAATGAGGATTAAAGGGAGATCAACCCGTATTTTAAGCACCAGAAGTAGAATAAAAAAAAAAATTGCATTTTTTCAAGTAAAAAAAATCGAATTCGTCATTTATTCTAATGCATTTACCTCAAAAACGAGGGATTTCAGGCAAAAACGTTATAAGACATTTTTTGTGGAGAACAAAATTTAGAACAAAAAATGTTTCATCACATTTTCTCATAAAATTACTCATAACCAACATAATTAAGCATCAAATAAGAGGTTAAAAATCTTGACTCCAAAAAAATCAAATTCGTTTTTCATTATAATATATTTATTTCAAAAACTAGTGGTTTTAGTCGAAAATGTGATAAGAAATGTTTTGTGGAGAACAAAATTTCGAACAAAGAATGTTTTATCACTTAATCTCCTCAAATTACTCATTACCAACACAATTCAACATTTACCAAGATGTTAGAACTGCACTGGACCAAAAAAGATTGAATCCCTCATGAAAATTGAAAAATCAAAACAAAAAATTAAGCGACAAAATGAATCAACTACTCAATTCGTCAATTACTTTGTCTAAAGGCATATTAAAAATCCACTCAAAGAATCCCCTCACCTGCAGCAACTGCGAGAACACCTTGATGCTGGCAGTAATATGTTTGACATTGCTCATGCACTTGAGCTCCCTCTTCAGGAGTCCCAGCATCCTCTCGGGCAGCGGGCTCTCCGGGTCATCCAAAACGACCTGAACACACCCAGAGCTCAGGAGTCTATCCAAAAACGCGAGAATGGCTGTGACCATCCTCTCCTGCCTGTGGCTCTCCTCAAAAATATCCAGGATCCTCCCCACGAGTTCCTCGAGCCTGTTCCCATCCAGCCCATTCAAATACGTGAACAACGAGACGCTGGAGTACTTGACAAGACTCTCGCTGAGGCCCCCGACGCTGAAGATGATGCCCCTGAGGAGGTGCTCCACGTACTCCGGGAATCCCAGCATCCTGATGAACCTGGGGAACGTGTGCGACTCGGTCTTCCAGTCGATGTCGTCCCTGCACTCGTCGTTGGGGAAGATCTCCCTCAGCTCCTGGTGGTGAGGAATGTTGGGCAGTCTGGGCTCTCGGTAGAGGAGGCCACAGAAGACCATTCCAGCTTGGACCCTCGTCCTGTCGATCCTCTCCACCGCCTGCTGGGCGATCCCCCCGACGATCTCCGTCATCATCTCTTCGTTCAATATCTCCGAGACGTTAGCCTCGGCCTATGCAAGTGATGAAATATGACGGTAATTTAGTAGCGAAGCGATAAACCGGGTTTTTTAAAATTTTTATTTATTTATTAACCTACAGTGGACCGGTGGTTCCGAGTTCAAAACCCGGCCGGTTAGAATGGTGAGATCAAACCATTTAAAGTCTTGATCATCATCGCAGAACACCCTCACCAGATCGAAACGATGTAAAATAACGAAGAAAAAAAAAAAAAAAGCCTACAGTGGGTCATTTACATTCACTTAAGATGTACGAAAGTTATAAAGGAAGATACCATTTAACCATTTGAAGTCTTGATCATCATCGCAGAACACCCTCACCAGATCGAAACGATGTAAAATAACGATTAAAAAAAAAAACCGACAGTGGGTCATTTACATTCACTTAAGATGGACGAAAGTTATAAAGGAAGATACCATTTAACCATTTGAAGTCTTGATCATCATCGCAGCGTACCCTAACCAGGTCGAAACGATGTAAAATAACGATTAAAAAAAAAAAACCGACAGTGGGTCATTTACATTCACTTAAGATGTACGAAAGTTATAAAGGAAGATACCATTTAACCATTTAAAGTCTTGATCATCATCGCAGGACACCCTCACCAGATCGAAACGATGTACAATAACGATTAAAAAAAAAAACCGACAGTGGGTCATTTACATTCACTTAAGATGGACGAAAGTTATAAAGGAAGATACCATTTAACCATTTAAAGTCTTGATCATCATCGCAGGACACCCTCACCAGATCGAAACGATGTACAATAACGATTAAAAAAAAAAACCGACAGTGGGTCATTTACATTCACTTAAGATGGACGAAAGTTATAAAGGAAGATACCATTTAACCATTTAAAGTCTTGATCATCATCGCAGGACACCCTCACCAGATCGAAACGATGTACAATAACGATTAAAAAAAAAAACCGACAGTGGGTCATTTACATTCACTTAAGGTGTACGAAAGTTATAAAGGAAGATACCATTTAACCATTTAAAGTCTTGATCATCATCGCAGCATACCCTAACCAGGTCGAAACGATGTAAAATAACGATTTAAAAAAAAAAACCGACAGTGGGTCATTTACATTCACTTAAGATGTACGATAGTTATAAAGGAAGATACCATTTAACCATTTAAAGTCTTGATCATCATCGCAGCATACCCTAACCAGGTCGAAACGATGTAAAATAACGATTTAAAAAAAAAAAAAACCTACAGTGGGTCATTTACATTCACTTAAGATGTACGAAAGTTATAAAGGAAGATACCATTTAACCATTTAAAGTCTTGATCATCATCGCAGGACACCCTCACCAGATCGAAACGATGTAAAATAACGATTTAAAAAAAAAAAAAACCTACAGTGGGTCATTTACATTCACTTAAGATGTACGAAAGTTATAAAGGAAGATACCATTTAACCATTTAAAGTCTTGATCATCATCGCAGGACACCCTCACCAGATCGAAACGATGTAAAATAACGATTTAAAAAAAAAAAAAACCTACAGTGGGTCATTTACATTCACTTAAGATGTACGAAAGTTATAAAGGAAGATACCATTTAACCATTTAAAGTCTTGATCATCATCGCAGGACACCCTCACCAGATCGAAACGATGTAAAATAACGATTTAAAAAAAAAAAAAACCTACAGTGGGTCATTTACATTCACTTAAGATGTACGAAAGTTATAAAGGAAGATACCATTTAACCATTTAAAGTCTTGATCATCATCGCAGGACACCCTCACCAGATCGAAACGATGTAAAATAACGATTTAAAAAAAAAAAAAACCTACAGTGGGTCATTTACATTCACTTAAGATGTACGAAAGTTATAAAGGAAGATACCATTTAACCATTTAAAGTCTTGATCATCATCGCAGGACACCCTCACCAGATCGAAACGATGTAAAATAACGATTTAAAAAAAAAAAAAACCTACAGTGGGTCATTTACATTCACTTAAGATGTACGAAAGTTATAAAGGAAGATACCATTTAACCATTTAAAGTCTTGATCATCATCGCAGGACACCCTCACCAGATCGAAACGATGTAAAATAACGATTTAAAAAAAAAAAAAACCTACAGTGGGTCATTTACATTCACTTAAGATGTACGAAAGTTATAAAGGAAGATACCATTTAACCATTTAAAGTCTTGATCATCATCGCAGGACACCCTCACCAGATCGAAACGATGTAAAATAACGATTTAAAAAAAAAAAAAACCTACAGTGGGTCATTTACATTCACTTAAGATGTACGAAAGTTATAAAGGAAGATACCATTTAACCATTTAAAGTCTTGATCATCATCGCAGGACACCCTCACCAGATCGAAACGATGTAAAATAACGATTTAAAAAAAAAAAAAACCTACAGTGGGTCATTTACATTCACTTAAGATGTACGAAAGTTATAAAGGAAGATACCATTTAACCATTTAAAGTCTTGATCATCATCGCAGGACACCCTCACCAGATCGAAACGATGTAAAATAACGATTTAAAAAAAAAAAAAACCTACAGTGGGTCATTTACATTCACTTAAGATGTACGAAAGTTATAAAGGAAGATACCATTTAACCATTTAAAGTCTTGATCATCATCGCAGGACACCCTCACCAGATCGAAACGATGTAAAATAACGATTTAAAAAAAAAAAAAACCTACAGTGGGTCATTTACATTCACTTAAGATGTACGAAAGTTATAAAGGAAGATACCATTTAACCATTTAAAGTCTTGATCATCATCGCAGGACACCCTCACCAGATCGAAACGATGTAAAATAACGATTTAAAAAAAAAAAAAACCTACAGTGGGTCATTTACATTCACTTAAGATGTACGAAAGTTATAAAGGAAGATACCATTTAACCATTTAAAGTCTTGATCATCATCGCAGGACACCCTCACCAGATCGAAACGATGTAAAATAACGATTTAAAAAAAAAAAAAACCTACAGTGGGTCATTTACATTCACTTAAGATGTACGAAAGTTATAAAGGAAGATACCATTTAACCATTTAAAGTCTTGATCATCATCGCAGGACACCCTCACCAGATCGAAACGATGTAAAATAACGATTTAAAAAAAAAAAAAACCTACAGTGGGTCATTTACATTCACTTAAGATGTACGAAAGTTATAAAGGAAGATACCATTTAACCATTTAAAGTCTTGATCATCATCGCAGGACACCCTCACCAGATCGAAACGATGTAAAATAACGATTTAAAAAAAAAAAAAACCTACAGTGGGTCATTTACATTCACTTAAGATGTACGAAAGTTATAAAGGAAGATACCATTTAACCATTTAAAGTCTTGATCATCATCGCAGGACACCCTCACCAGATCGAAACGATGTAAAATAACGATTTAAAAAAAAAAAAAACCTACAGTGGGTCATTTACATTCACTTAAGATGTACGAAAGTTATAAAGGAAGATACCATTTAACCATTTAAAGTCTTGATCATCATCGCAGGACACCCTCACCAGATCGAAACGATGTAAAATAACGATTTAAAAAAAAAAAAAACCTACAGTGGGTCATTTACATTCACTTAAGATGTACGAAAGTTATAAAGGAAGATACCATTTAACCATTTAAAGTCTTGATCATCATCGCAGGACACCCTCACCAGATCGAAACGATGTAAAATAACGATTTAAAAAAAAAAAAAACCTACAGTGGGTCATTTACATTCACTTAAGATGTACGAAAGTTATAAAGGAAGATACCATTTAACCATTTAAAGTCTTGATCATCATCGCAGGACACCCTCACCAGATCGAAACGATGTAAAATAACGATTTAAAAAAAAAAAAAACCTACAGTGGGTCATTTACATTCACTTAAGATGTACGAAAGTTATAAAGGAAGATACCATTTAACCATTTAAAGTCTTGATCATCATCGCAGGACACCCTCACCAGATCGAAACGATGTAAAATAACGATTTAAAAAAAAAAAAAACCTACAGTGGGTCATTTACATTCACTTAAGATGTACGAAAGTTATAAAGGAAGATACCATTTAACCATTTAAAGTCTTGATCATCATCGCAGGACACCCTCACCAGATCGAAACGATGTAAAATAACGATTTAAAAAAAAAAAAAACCTACAGTGGGTCATTTACATTCACTTAAGATGTACGAAAGTTATAAAGGAAGATACCATTTAACCATTTAAAGTCTTGATCATCATCGCAGGACACCCTCACCAGATCGAAACGATGTAAAATAACGATTTAAAAAAAAAAAAAACCTACAGTGGGTCATTTACATTCACTTAAGATGTACGAAAGTTATAAAGGAAGATACCATTTAACCATTTAAAGTCTTGATCATCATCGCAGGACACCCTCACCAGATCGAAACGATGTAAAATAACGATTTAAAAAAAAAAAAAACCTACAGTGGGTCATTTACATTCACTTAAGATGTACGAAAGTTATAAAGGAAGATACCATTTAACCATTTAAAGTCTTGATCATCATCGCAGGACACCCTCACCAGATCGAAACGATGTAAAATAACGATTTAAAAAAAAAAAAAACCTACAGTGGGTCATTTACATTCACTTAAGATGTACGAAAGTTATAAAGGAAGATACCATTTAACCATTTAAAGTCTTGATCATCATCGCAGGACACCCTCACCAGATCGAAACGATGTAAAATAACGATTTAAAAAAAAAAAAAACCTACAGTGGGTCATTTACATTCACTTAAGATGTACGAAAGTTATAAAGGAAGATACCATTTAACCATTTAAAGTCTTGATCATCATCGCAGGACACCCTCACCAGATCGAAACGATGTAAAATAACGATTTAAAAAAAAAAAAAACCTACAGTGGGTCATTTACATTCACTTAAGATGTACGAAAGTTATAAAGGAAGATACCATTTAACCATTTAAAGTCTTGATCATCATCGCAGGACACCCTCACCAGATCGAAACGATGTAAAATAACGATTTAAAAAAAAAAAAAACCTACAGTGGGTCATTTACATTCACTTAAGATGTACGAAAGTTATAAAGGAAGATACCATTTAACCATTTAAAGTCTTGATCATCATCGCAGGACACCCTCACCAGATCGAAACGATGTAAAATAACGATTTAAAAAAAAAAAAAACCTACAGTGGGTCATTTACATTCACTTAAGATGTACGAAAGTTATAAAGGAAGATACCATTTAACCATTTAAAGTCTTGATCATCATCGCAGGACACCCTCACCAGATCGAAACGATGTAAAATAACGATTTAAAAAAAAAAAAAACCTACAGTGGGTCATTTACATTCACTTAAGATGTACGAAAGTTATAAAGGAAGATACCATTTAACCATTTAAAGTCTTGATCATCATCGCAGGACACCCTCACCAGATCGAAACGATGTAAAATAACGATTTAAAAAAAAAAAAAACCTACAGTGGGTCATTTACATTCACTTAAGATGTACGAAAGTTATAAAGGAAGATACCATTTAACCATTTAAAGTCTTGATCATCATCGCAGGACACCCTCACCAGATCGAAACGATGTAAAATAACGATTTAAAAAAAAAAAAAACCTACAGTGGGTCATTTACATTCACTTAAGATGTACGAAAGTTATAAAGGAAGATACCATTTAACCATTTAAAGTCTTGATCATCATCGCAGGACACCCTCACCAGATCGAAACGATGTAAAATAACGATTTAAAAAAAAAAAAAACCTACAGTGGGTCATTTACATTCACTTAAGATGTACGAAAGTTATAAAGGAAGATACCATTTAACCATTTAAAGTCTTGATCATCATCGCAGGACACCCTCACCAGATCGAAACGATGTAAAATAACGATTTAAAAAAAAAAAAAACCTACAGTGGGTCATTTACATTCACTTAAGATGTACGAAAGTTATAAAGGAAGATACCATTTAACCATTTAAAGTCTTGATCATCATCGCAGGACACCCTCACCAGATCGAAACGATGTAAAATAACGATTTAAAAAAAAAAAAAACCTACAGTGGGTCATTTACATTCACTTAAGATGTACGAAAGTTATAAAGGAAGATACCATTTAACCATTTAAAGTCTTGATCATCATCGCAGGACACCCTCACCAGATCGAAACGATGTAAAATAACGATTTAAAAAAAAAAAAAACCTACAGTGGGTCATTTACATTCACTTAAGATGTACGAAAGTTATAAAGGAAGATACCATTTAACCATTTAAAGTCTTGATCATCATCGCAGGACACCCTCACCAGATCGAAACGATGTAAAATAACGATTTAAAAAAAAAAAAAACCTACAGTGGGTCATTTACATTCACTTAAGATGTACGAAAGTTATAAAGGAAGATACCATTTAACCATTTAAAGTCTTGATCATCATCGCAGGACACCCTCACCAGATCGAAACGATGTAAAATAACGATAAAAAAAAAAAAAAAAAACCTACAGTGGGTCATTTACATTCACTTAAGATGTACGAAAGTTATAAAGGAAGATACCATTTAACCATTTAAAGTCTTGATCATCATCGCAGGACACCCTCACCAGATCGAAACGATGTAAAATAACGATAAAAAAAAAAAAAAAACCTACAGTGGGTCATTTACATTCACTTAAGATGTACGAAAGTTATAAAGGAAGATACCATTTAACCATTTAAAGTCTTGATCATCATCGCAGGACACCCTCACCAGATCGAAACGATGTAAAATAACGATTTAAAAAAAAAAAAAACCTACAGTGGGTCATTTACATTCACTTAAGATGTACGAAAGTTATAAAGGAAGATACCATTTAACCATTTAAAGTCTTGATCATCATCGCAGTGTACCCTCACCAGATCGAAACGATGTAAAATAACGATTTAAAAAAAAAAAAACCTACAGTGGGTCATTTACATTCACTTAAGATGTACGAAAGTTATAAAGGAAGATACCATTTAACCATTTAAAGTCTTGATCATCATCGCAGGACACCCTCACCAGATCGAAACGATGTAAAATAACGATTTAAAAAAAAAAAAACCTACAGTGGGTCATTTACATTCACTTAAGATGTACGAAAGTTATAAAGGAAGATACCATTTAACCATTTAAAGTCTTGATCATCATCGCAGTGTACCCTCACCAGATCGAAACGATGTAAAATAACGATTTAAAAAAAAAAAAACCTACAGTGGGTCATTTACATTCACTTAAGATGTACGAAAGTTATAAAGGAAGATACCATTTAACCATTTAAAGTCTTGATCATCATCGCAGCGTACCCTAACCAGGTCAAAAGGATGTAAAATAACGATTAAAAAAAAAAAAAAAAACTAGAATAACGTTAAATGACGTACCTGTGCCACAAGATTGGTCAGGACATGAAGCCCGGACATGGCCGCCTCCCTGACCCAGGCCCCGATGTCCCCGCGGCTGTCAATCGTGTACTCCTTCAGCGCCAGAAGATAGCACCCGAACATCTGAGGAACGAACGCCCTCCAGATGTCGACTTCCCTGACCCCCAACGTCTGCATGGCCATCGTCAACGACTGCAGGGCCTTCTTCCTGCTCTCGGCCCACTTGGACGTCTCCTCCGTGATCCTCGAGCAGAGAATGAGCGAGGACACAATGTCCTCGAACCTCTCCTTGAGGAGGAACGTCGGGCAGTAGCCGAGGGCCTCAGCGAACCCAATCCTCACGGTCTGATGGCTGGACCTGAGATTCTCCAAGTACCGCCTGACGACGGCATCCCTGTCCTCCCTCCGCTCGTCGTCTGAGTAGTACTCCCTGAACAGATGAGTGTGCGCCTCAGCGGACTTGAGCCTGACCCCAGCGACCTCGTGGCAGAGGCACTCCTCCAGGAGCCTCTGCCAGTCCCCGACGACCTCACTCCCATGAACCGGAAAATGCACCTGTGAACACTTGTTGATTAACGTCGCACAGGCCTGCTTCATCAGCTCGCCCCCAAGTCCCCTGAACTGCCCCCTCGCCCTGAACGTGCCGACGATCTTCTTGATCTCCTCGACCTCAGGGACTCCGATGATCGTTTCAATGCTCTCGTTGAAGTGCTGGTGGAGGGCCTCCAGGATCTCGGCGATGGCGAGGATCGAGCCGTGACGAACGTTCAAGTCGACTGACCCCAGGTTATCGATGAGGGTCGGCAGGACAGTCTCCACCATGTAGTAGACGTCCCTGAAGGTCAAATTCCCCAGGGCCTTGGCCGACAGCTCCCTGATGGCCGTGTCCCAGTGGCCGATCTTCCTCTGGACCAAGTGATCGATAATGGGGACTGTGTACTCCTTGTACTGGGCGATGTGAACGCTTATCTTGAGGTAGGCATTGCTCCTGACGCCGACCTCGAAGTAGTCGGCGACTGTCAGGATGTCGATGCCATAGGGAAAGTTCCCCTGGCGTCCGACATTCTCCTGGAATGCAGCGGAGCCAGCCCTCCGGCAGTTGATCTCCCTGTCGAAGCAGGTGACGATGAGGAGGGTAGAGGCTATCTGCTGGACGTGGGGCTGAAAGACGTGGGGCTCGAAGGCCCGGGCGAAGGACCAGCAGACGTAGCACGCGGCGTCCCGGATGATGCGACCGATCGATCCGTACGCCCGCGGCTCGTCGAACACGAGGGCCCTCAGCACCACTGGGATAACGTCCGGCAGACGGTGCGGCAGGAGGAGACCCCTCCGCCCCAACTCCGCAAGGGCGAGACAGCCCCCGTGCCACGCGGTGTCCTGCTCCCTTCCCGAGAACAGGTTCAGGACGAAGCCGACGACTTCGTCCCCCAGGTCCACCGGGAGGCGAGACGTTATCCGGGCTATTCCCTTAGCTGCCGACCACCTGATGGTGATGACCTTGTCCCTCAGCCCCTGAATCAGGTGCTCGATTATCTCCTCGGTGACGGGTGGCACGTCCTCCTCATCGCTGTCATTGGGGACCTCCTCGACGGTGGCCTTGGCCGCCTCCACAGGGATTTTGCTCGAGTTCTGAAGGAGACTGATCGTCTGCCCCGTCTTCTTGTACCTCCAGGCCGCCAATTTCGGCCGCAGCAGGATCAGTCCGATCCTCTGGATGACCTTCATCTCGTACCGGCAGACGAGGTCGCCCGATTTCCCGAGCTCCAGTCTCGTTATGCTATCGAAGATGGTCTGGCAGTGGGGCTTGATGTCCTCCCGTGCCGAATGCTTGAGGATTGAGGCGAGAACGGCCAGGGGCCCGTGGGTCGTCGGCTCCTCCCCCAGGGACTTCAGACACCACATGATCATCTCCTCGAGGTGTAGGCTCTTCACGTCGGACCGGGTCAGGAAGTTGGAGATGAGGAAGACTGCGGCTTTGGGACAGGCGCCCGAGACCACGCAGTACTGCTTGCAGAGGTTCAAGATCCTCCCCAGGATCGTCCGGGAGGGCTCGACATTCTCCGAGGTCTCCAGGCGCGACAGGGGAAAGGGGATCTTCGAGATGATCGACAGCCAGATGAGGAGGACGTAGCGAGTCTCCCAGGTCTCCAGGTCCCTCGGGTCCTGCTTCTCCAGGAGTCGCAGCACTGGCAGGAGGTCCATCACCTCGTGGGGGAGGTACGTCACTATCTTCTTGTAGCCCTTGACGTTCATCAGGAGGAACATGTACTTGAAGGTGTTGTGTTTCGTGGGCTCGGGGACCTCGTCGTTCTTCACGAGCTCCAGCATCGGCCTCAGGATGTCGTCCAGGAAGGGGTCCAGGAGGTGCGGCTGCTCCTGGTAGAGCGACAGGATGAACTTGAAGCGGTCTCGGTTGGACTCGATCGTCACCGCTGACGCCGACCGGGAGTTCAGGGTGTCGACGAGCTTCTTCACTTCCTCGATCTCCTCGAAGGCGTTGAAGCCGCAGCCGATGCTCTCCGCATCCGGACCCTCGTTCAGGACCATTTTTCGGGGGTTAGGGGGATCCTTCGGGGGCGCAGGAGCCACTCGGGGGCATTACCCGGGGGAGGGCTTCGCGATCTCGAGGATTTACGGGTGGAGATGGGCTTTTTCGGTTATTTGGGGTTACACGGACACTTTTGACAGATTTTGCTCCATTGGGTTGCGACGCACATGTACGGGTGGGGATTGCTGGGGTTTGGGTGGACGAGAGTGGGGAGGACCACTCGAATCGCATTCGACTGGAAATTATATTGGATTTCTATTGAAAATTCTATTAGTTTTTGGCCGGTGTCAGGTCTGGATGAGAAGAGGTGGCATTCAGGGGATCGTAAATGAAGATTTGACTGGTAATTATTATGGAGGATAAAAGTTATTGTCGGAGATGCGTGGCACTAGTCTGCCATGTTGGTTTAAAAGGCCGGTGAGGTCGGTAGAGTAGAAAGTACATTGAGGGGAATTGGGACCGCTATTTACCGATGGTGGCGTGGTGATCGCCCTCATAACATGGACGACCGATGGTTTACTCGTTCAAACTTGTTCAAACCCTCACATTGTAGCTGACAGTAGTAGTTCCTCTTCGACTCATTCATGTCTGCATTGATTTTAATTGTTGCACTCGAAGTTCTGATGGTGTCATATTTTAGAAAAACTTGAGGATTTGCAAAGTAATTGATTGAAGTATCAACGATAAACCATCGGACGGCCATTTTTTTTAGACATCGCAGCGATTATAGCGGTTCCAATTGGAAACGCTGAGGTCTCACATAAAGAAAGTAAAGATGTGTTTATCATAAACAACTTATATTTATTCAGTTCCGTCACTTAGTAATTAGTTATTAATATAAAACTTGGAACGCCACAGCTGTGGTGGGTTAGATGAGACGTGGTAATAATAATAATGAGTGAATATAATGGAATGTAGATTTGCTATTCCGATCGTGGAATTAGTATCTGCTTGCGTCGTTGGCGCTGTTGGCGAGCTCCGTCGGTAACGCCGGAATCTGATTGAGGCACAACCGTCACAACGCTAAATATCAAAACGCCCACCTATGAATGGCGGATATTGGGCTGCACACAGACAGAATTCAACCCAATTTGGGCTTGTTCAGCGTGTATATGGGAAACCTAAAATCGTCCATATTGGTGAAAACGAGCGCCGCCATCGGTAATTAGCGGTCCCAATATCAAATCTTAGAATTGTTTTCTCCTACAATTAATAATTTCTATCTATCAAATTACTTTATCGACTCGATTATCGCATTGTTGAGTCAATGAAGTAGTGAATAAAAATATTCTAATAGAATAAGTTGTACAGAAAGATGAAATTCTAATGATTCTTCCAATGTGACTGGTTCTGGAAAAAAACTCAAATTTGAAAAAGTCAGTAATTATCCATATTTTGCTATGAACCATTTTTTTCAAATTCATCTGTTTGCAGCATGAAAATGACAACAAAAATTGCATACAACTAAAAAATATTTGAAAACTGTTCATTTCTTCGCTAATTTCTAGGCATGTGCACATGACCCCTGAATGGCAAATTACATGTTGTTCCCCTGTTCATCATAATTCTTATAAAAATTTATTTCAAGATTTCACATTATTAATTCCACCTGCGAAACAAATAAATATTCACTTAAAACCCTAGGACATTAACTAATTCGACGACATCCACCCACTGCAGAGAAGCTATCAATCAGCAAATGGTCCATTGCTTCCTCATTATGTTCAGTATATCACAATTAAATTAATTAAGGATAGTAGTAGCCCGGGCTCTGCTGGTGGAGATTCTCGAATCCCTATTGGGGAGGTCCGCCCATCATCCCCATGGAGGGCATTCCCTGCATACCGTAGGGCCCCTGGGGTGGGCCCTGGCCCCCAGCCATGGGCGAGTGCATCTGCATTGCTGGACTCTGGATCTGCTGGGTGGGAGTGACTTGTCCGGCTGCTGGTGAGGCCACCACCTGGGGCATCACCGGGGGCTCGGAGGGAAGGGTCAAGTTCGCCATGAGGTCCCTGACTGCGGGGAATAGGGAGCACTCGGGGTAGTTCACCCCTGGATACTCGACGAATCTCTTCAGCTGCATTGAGGCTGCTGCTGTCGATGAGGATGGGGAGTCACGTCTCTCTGCTAGTTGAGTCAGGTTCGTCTGGATGTCGTAGACGAGAGGGAGCGCCAGGGACAGGGGCTCACCCTGGTAAGGCACTCCGACTCTTGTCAATTGGATCTGAAGCAGTGAAATGAGAATTTTTTTATGAGCAGACTGAAATCTATTCAAATTAACGAAGTACCTTCATGCCGAGGCTTTATTTTTTAATGATTAGTGATTCTTATTTCGTCTGTCAATCCACGAGAAATATTTGGCATTGAATTGTCAAAAGTACTGGCCCAACTGCTAACACTTCCACGAGTGATTCTTGGGTCGAGCGTTAGGAGTGGACGCACACTGTTTTCCCCTCTATTTCCCATGTGCGAGTTGTAAATACATGAGAGAATATGCGGACTTGTAGGGAGTCACCTCAATTCGTTCACAAGACTAAAAAGAATTATCAGGAAAATTTATTTAATGGCAAATATGGGATGGCAGTGAGTGGTCCCCTGGTATTTTACGGTGGAGCTGTTAGTGCCACTGTAGTTTCTGTCACTTATCTAACCGCTTCCCTGTGGAGGTTCTTTCTGTAACTCAACTCCCCAATGAATGAACGTACATCCCCTGGTGTGGAAAAGAATCCTCACTATTCTGCTCGATAAACCTCAACTTCTCCTATGATTTTTTAAAAGAATTTTCTACACCACGAATATTTGACCTGTCAAATTCGATTCGTAAACTGGCATAAACTGGGTCCAAA